CAAACAAGTAGACTAATGTTTATCCTATGTTTCATATCATAATGAAGATTTCTTACAAATTAAATTAATACCATCATTTTGAGCTACTGTGCAGTTTGGGTTATATGTCTTTCATCATCTGTATAACTTTGCAGGTTTTTTTTTTCCCTTTTAACAACATTCTGTTGAAAATTAGGTACAATAAGGTAAGTGAAATAAATTCATCACTTATCTTCATATACTAGTATATATATATATATTATATATATATATATATATATATTAACACCCTTCCCCAGCAAAGTTGACACAACATAAACAAACTAGTTCTCACAAACACTCAAAAATATTAATCTCTTTGATAAATCATCCATTGATCTATACAAAAAAAAAAAATACGTGATGGTAGAACTGAGAGTTTTCCTATGGCAGAAGAGTACATCAATGCTATCTTTCATGAATACCTAGAAAGTAACAGGGCATAGTACTATCAAGCTACTCATATGCCTCCCTTTCATACTTCTCCAGTCCCACTGTTAAGGCACACAAAGCCTCATAGGTAACACCTATGTGAGAGTATTATTATGCTCACTTTCTAATATGGAAGATGGAAACAGGAAAGGTAAACGTTTTCACTCAACAAAGGCCTGCAATGAGGGACACTTTCTTTAGAAGCACATACAACTACGAGTGACAATACTGAAGAGAGAGGCAGCAACTATGACACTGTTACCCTCCCCCTGTGAGCCTCTGATCTAGAATCCATACAGGCACCAAAGCAGACTGGTAACTTTATACACAAAAAAAAAATAAAAAATTGCATAAGCTATAGTATTGCTTGTTCTAGTTACCTTTTAAAGAACCAAATACAGTGTAGTTACAGGGTATCTTCTAAGAAAGGATGCATTCAGATTTAGACTTCAGATGCAGACCTGAAGATGTACAAAATTCACTGCCTCCCATAATAATTAATTCCAGTCAGTTATTACCCTTTCTTTTTGCTTTTTCCATTTTCCACCCTCCCTGCACCATTGCTATCAACTTACACTAACACAGCCATGTGGTAAATATCACAATGAACAGTCCAACAATTAGTACAGAGATCGAAGTCTGTTCCTGAGGCCTTATATTCTCAGTCTTCCACCTAGTAGCCATTTGGACAACTAAAGGGACAACTATCATTTGTGACATATTGAACTCAGATCTGCTGGTGCAAATATAAACTTGCGAATTACCACACTATACGGCTATCCAGCTTTCACTGCAGAGTGACTTGAACACTTACCCTGTCCAAATCATGAACGAAACCTGCTCTTTTGAATCCTTCATGAATGCAAATGCTGACAAAATAAGTTGGTAAGGAGAATCGCACAAAAAGTCTCCAAATGGGCCTGGGTTGGAGGCATTGGCTCCTTTGGAAGAAGAACAAACTTTGGTGCGATCAGGGGTAATGTGATAAGTCGGATCTAAATGTAGATCAGATACATGCCAGAACTGCCCTGTTTTCAGAAAACAAAGATTAAAGAAAATGCATTATTTGCATCTGAACTGGATATACAAGGGTAATGCCAAGTTTGCTCCACTTTGTCTACTGCTATTCCTCTCTAAAGTCTTGAAAAGGAGAATAAATTTAACAAATTGTTGATTAGCCTGTCTGATAAGCGTGGGCAAGTTCTGTAGTCAAGTCCTTCATGTGGTCCACTTAGAAAAACTGAAAACAGAAGCAGAGGCACGAGTTTACACTATTCACCAGAAATAAAATGAAGATTGGAAGGAACTGAAAAATCAGCTCTTTTTCATTAATAGCAATCTGGAAACTGTAGAGTAGAGAAGGCAATAAAAGGACTTCTCCACTTCACCTGAAAAGAGAGGGAGTTGCATTTTAATTATTTTTCCCGAGCTTCCCTGGCTGGAAGCTACTATAAAAGATCAGTCTAGAAAGAATGGCAAGAAACAGCAATGTTTCCTGTGTGTGCAAAATGTGTTGTTCTTGTTTCAGTGTGTGCAAGAATTTCAAAGCTCTTCTCTTTAGCAGTCTCAGTAGCAAAGGTTGGGCTTCTCACCATATAGCAGTGTGTCAGCCTTACCTATTCACTGTTTTCCAGGCTGACGTTCTCAGCCACGGCTACACAGCACTGCATGGATAAAGAAGCTGAGAAGTTCAGGAGTATGCTGAGCATGGTGAATGAAGACTGTATTAGTCTACAAGCCTTGAAGTTTCATGTAAAATAAGAGTAATTCCTTTCTGTCCGTTTCAAAGCACTTGGTAGAGGCTGTGATAAGCATGTATCTGGGGCAGTGGTTGTGAAACAGGGACGGATATAAATTGATTTTTCCCAAGGTCACATGCCCACTCTGTGGCTGGGCAGGCACCACGCGACTCTGCCCCGTGGAGCTTTATTTCAGGAAGCAAAAAACCAGCAGTGTTCTTTAAAACCCGCAAAACCGTGACTCCTACGATCAGGACTCAGAGAAACGCCGGGGTACTGCTGCGTGTTCGGTCCGAGGCCAAGTGTGAAGCGACATGGAATGAAAATTCTGTGGGAAACCCTTTGGGAGCACTCACCTGCGCGCAGGGCCGCACCAGGGGCCGCGGCGGGCAGGGCGTGGGTGTGTTTGCTGACAGCGCGGAGCCCCGGCGCGGTGTTTGCAGTGCGTGCCTCTGGACAGCGAGCCACAGGCAGGGCCCCGCTCACCTCACCTCACCTCGCCTCCCCCGCCGGATAACTGGATGTAAACCCCGCTTATCCCCCCCGTACCTGAAAAGCGCCGTGTTTACTGATCTAATAGTGACGTGCAGCTGGAGCCAGCTGGGACAGGGAATACCGCGGCAGGGGGCTCAGCGCGGGCAGCAGTCCAGTGGAGCGGACAGGAGGCACAAGCGGGCAGCGCGCACCCCGGCCACCCCCCATACCCACCCCCGGCAGCCGGGCCGGCAGTGCCCCCGGTCGCGCCTCCCTCCCCCGGCCCCCGCAGGCGCTGCCTCCCTCCGACTCACCCACGGCGGAGCGGGGCTGCGGGCCGGCCGGTGCCGCCTCCAGCGCGGCGCAGAGCAGCGCCAGCCCCAGGGCCACCCGCAGCTCCATGTCGGCCGTGCGGGAGAGCGCGGCCCGCCGGCGGCTCTGCTCATGTGACTGCCCGGGAAAGGGGCGAGCCACAGGCGCCTTGTGCAAGCCCCGGCCCTCCGCGGCCTCGCCGGGGCTGCCGGAAACCACGGCGCCCCGCCCGCCCGCTCAGGGCCAGCAGCCGCCCCTGGCCGCGGTTCCCCAGGGGCCCGGCTGCCGTCGCCTCCGCCCGCTGTGCCCGCGGTGACCTTCAGGGGAGCTCGCAGGAGCCAAGCCTGGCCGTGGGCAGCGCTCAAGTAAGGGCACTGGCTGGTGTGAGGTGGCCTCGAAGGAAGGCTGCTCTCAAGACACCCCACCCACACCTCAAACTTTTCTTGGAAGGATGGATCCCGGTTACTTAAGGTTCTTAAATAAAAAAAAAAAAAAAAAATTAAAAAAAAAAAAACCACCAAACAAACAAAACCCAAAACAAAAAACTGATGAAATATGCCGTGAAGTAAGTACACGTCTAATTCAGCTTAAGGGAAGTGATGAGGTGTACTGTAAATTATGAGTCTCCTCTGCCAAGGCTGTGTGGTAGCAGAGCTGCTGTTTATTGCTGAAGTCAGAGTAGTTTTGTCTTGAGGAAGAGTACTTGCCGTCAGTTTTAGGAGCAGATGACTATTGTGGTGTCACAGATCCTGTGGCTGCCCTTAAATATCACAATGCTCAGCATGCTTTTCTGTACAGATCTGCTTTCCAGGGCTCTGCAAAGCTGCTTTATTAGCAGCAGCTGGAAGTCCCATGTCACTTCACTCCTCTGAGCAGTGCTACAGGCACTACTTCTCCACTTTTCTCTAATTTGTCATTTATATTTTTTATCATTAGAGTAGCAAAAGACTTTACCAATAAGATTCATTGTGGTTTCATATTACGTAAAAAACTGATGTTTGTAGGGAAAAATAGCACCTATAATGTAAAATATTTACTGTTTAGGGTTTATCTTTAAATGCAATGTCTCTGCATCCCTTTCCTCACATTTAATAAAAAACTTTTTTTTTTTTAATTAATGACCTCACAAGTCACTTGTTGTGAAGATGAATGCCAATATTGGGGAGGCAAGTCTGTTTTTCCCAGTGAAGAAGGAAAGGCAGCTGTTCCCACCTTTCTCAGAAGGGGTGGCTGGGAAGGACAGTAATGTGGCAAGTGCACCCGCAGGCAACAGAAGGAAGGCAGATGAAAGCTGCATCAGATACTGAAGCTGAGGATTAAATGAGCTAATAAAACTGAAGGGCAGAAGATGCTGCTTAAACATAACTTGAACTGTAGCAGCTAAGCAGCCCAGAACAGCTCCCCATACCACTGTACCACTGGAGCAAGTTCTGCTTTCCATTTCTCTGATGAAAAATGTTTGCTCCTAGATTTTAAAAACTATCAATAGCCACCAAATAAAACATATCTTCAGTGGTTCATAATTAAGGGATCTCTTCTAGATGTGTAGTGTTCCCCACAAAACAGTCTTGAATCTTCCTTTCAGACAGCTTTTTTGTGAAAAAATAAAGTTAATAACATTGAATTTTATAGTTGTGTGGGTTAGGTGCTAATTATGTCTGAACTTTTATCAGATGAATGAAATGAGCTACCCACATTATCCTACCTATCCAGGGAAGTCAGCAGCCTCTTTCCATGATATCACATAGGAGACCTGAAGGATGACACAGTGCAGGATTAGGCCTGGGAGTTGGGCTCAGCTGTGCCTGTATGCAAGGCTATAGGTAGCTACATCTCCATGTGGTTCACTAACTCAGAAAATGTGTGTAGAAAACATGGACTCTCTAAAAAATCTCCTCCCTGCTGCCAACAACCCATTTCAATTTTCCTAATAATCTGAGGCATAAGGCAAGTTTTCTCACTCTACCCTTTTAAGGAAATATTGGTCAGGCATAAGGTTTTAATTTATATTTTTAAGCAGCATAGTAGCTATGAAAAAACAGCTCAGGGAAGGGAATTTTAGTAGGTTTGTCTTGTACTGTTTCCCTGCCATCCTTGTGGAGACTGAAAGTTATTTATTGTGTTGACCCTTTCATCTGACCCTGTGAAAGGCTTCAATATTTGCACATTAGCAAAAACAAACAAAACCAACAAAACACTACAAGCAAAAAAGCAAACCTATCAAAACAAATTAAAAACTCTCTTAACTACTAAACCCAAAACTCCATGATCGCCCCAGCATCAAGGTCTGTCTGTCTACTGACCTTAGCCTGCACTGGGAAACAAACTCCCTGTGAAGAGTAGAGCTGAAACTGGCTTGAGCATCTTACTCCTTTGTCTACATAAAGACAGGGACTTTATCTTTCTCCAGCAAAAAGAAGCCACTGAAGTCAGTTTTTCATTTCCCGAAATACTCTACACCACATAGAAAGGCTGCTGCATCATTGTGCTGCATGCTTTTCCATCCTTAACCTCAGAAAAGGAACTTTGAACACCACCCTCCAGAACACTGGAATATTTGCTCATTAAATGCCAAAGGAGCACAGGTTTAAAAAATGTTTTAATTTCTTTTTGATTTGCATTCCAAAACAATTCACATATTTTCCATTTACTGTAATAAAAAAAAAAAAAAAGAGGCAAGTGTTTCAGAAATTTAATGCCAAGTTTAACCTGTTTCACGATAGAGCACAAGCATGCCAATTTGATGGCATAAAGTTGGTTTTTTATAAAAAACACTCCCCAAAACTCTTTATTAACCTTTCATGCCAGAAATGTGCATTTTAGCTATGTTCGATTAGGGACGGGACATTAATCCATCCAGCAGAAGTAACATCTGGACAGAGGTCACGTAAACTCTACGCTTTCTCATAGTGGCGAACAGCAACCACATCACCAAAAGTGAGAGTCTGCAAGTCCAAGGAAAAGACAGACATGTTAGATGCTGGACCATTTTCTGTAATAACACATATTATGGGGGTCGTGCTAGAGCAAGTTTGGTTTACATTATGTAATTTATAGAAAACCAAATTGGTCTAGATTGACATTTTAAATGAAGAAGCAGCAAAGCCTTAGTTATAGTTTCCATAAGAAATGAAACTTTCTCACTGCTACTTGCTACACCCAAGAAGCACATAATGCACATTTACAAGGCAGCGCAAGTGAGGTTAGAATTTAATTTGTTTAATATAGCATTATTTTAATACAGATTTAGCACTTGTTTTCCCAAAGCTGATCACACCAAGATGTGCAGTCTAAATTTCCCAGTCCTCTATACCCCTATTCGATACCATTATGCAAAGAATCGCGTCTTGTTGATATCACCTGGGGAGTCTCTCTGCTGTACGTTCTGCAACCGGACTTGTCTATCTCACATTGGCCTTTTTAGCCATCAGCGCGCTTGTAGCAAGTGTGGGTAGAGCCCTTCTCAAATCTTCGTTCGCGAAGCCTAGCCATGACTATTATGCATAGATATATACTTAAGGAGAACCTTGCATTAAAAAAAAGCATTCTGTGCCTTATGTAGCTAGAACTAGCAGATACTATAGTTGCTGCATTCTGGAGGTATTTCCTGAAGTAGAACAGGGCACCTCAGAAAATTCCAAATTCCAAAGAAAAAGGTTTTCTGTATATGTGTAGCTATTTCAAAATGCAAAGCATGTGTTTTCCCTTGAATTGCTTGCCACATTGTGTTGCACTGACTGTATGCTTTAAAGTTTGTATTATTTGCAAGTCTCCATCCATGTAGATACTCTCCGAAGTATGCAGGAAACAAGCTAACTCCAGCAACCACCTTTGATAGAATAGTATAGCTGAAAACATTTTTTTGAAAGCTACATCTCAGTGCCAAAAATAAGCAGGAGAAGTGCTACCCTGGACATTAGCTACAGTAACTTACAACATTTATTCAACCTATACTCCTGTTTCTGAAAAGTCAGGAAAATAACATGTATTTAAAGTGAGACTTTTCTCCACACAGTTGCTGTTTATTGTAGTTTATAAACAAGATAGGAGAACTAAAGCCTTTATTATTAAATATGAAAATGCCATTACCTCCTGTAATATTGTAATTTTATTTTCACAGGGAAATACTTGTTTTGAGTAATTAATTCTTTATGTGTGCACACACAAAGAAGTCTGAAATATCACAGGCAACAGATAATTTCCTATATAATCAAGAATGTAGTATCATTACCAGAACTTTTTTTCTTGGGTACTTACATAAAAGTCTAGAAAGAACATACACATTCTGGAAATCCATAGGTAGGCTCGCCTAAAACCACTAGCAATTTTTTAGTTGTCACTAAGACAAGACACAAAAACAACTATTTGAAAAATCCCTGCTAGCTTTCCCCACCAATTAGTTTAAGGATTTGTGTCTGTTCACAAAGCTTGAGATAAGGGTAAGTGAGAAGTGTTAGCGGTGCATGCGAATGCTCAGTGAGCTTTATACTTACCATTACCATTTTGCCATCCTTTATTTCTCTCACAAAGTTTGTCTCTTTGCCGTCCCATTTCTGTACGTGCACTAGCTTGTCTCCATCCAGGGTCACAACTGACTGTGAGATACCAAGAAACACAAAGACCTTCATTTATTTGGGATATTTGGGATTCTGCTCACACATTCACCATTCTATTGAATTCTCTTCAATAGATGGATGTGGATCTAGAATTATAAAGTAGTCCTAGCCATTTTCAAGCCAAGGCTATGAATCATCCTTGTTTTAAGCATGAACTCCACACAATTCTTGTTTGTGTCAAAGGATGAAAAAGTAGTTTCCTTTGTGTTCCAGTCTCCCAAGAACCTGTGTCAGATGTGCTTTGGGATAACGTTTCATGTTAAGCCCCCAAAGGTGCAGGAAAAAAGGGAATTTAATTGTTTCGACTGGAAAAAAAAAAAAAAAGTTATGCCAAATTGTATTTGGACTGAGAGAAAAGTGGGCAGCTAACACAATTCGTCGACACTGGAAGGCAGACAGGGGACTGGGGAAAGGACACGTTCATTCAGACAAGACCGTATGCGGGCTGGGCAAACAAGATGCAATCTTGACCTTTTATTCCCCCCGTCCTTCGCAGTGCTACAACTACTAATAGCAGAAGTTACATTTTTTCCCTTTGACCCTACCAAAGATAGAGCCTCGGGGGCGGGAAGGAAGAAGAGAAAAAAGAGGCCACCGCAGACCCAGAGTTCACTTACTTTGCAGTTTCTATCATCGGGAGTAGTTTCATCAAATTCCTCTCCAAGTTTAAAGCTGATTTCTGTGTTTTTGAAAGTGCTTTGAGTCCTGATCACTACTTTGTCCCCCTCGCTGCTGATAATCACAGTGGGTTTAGTCACATTCCCCACCTGCCGTGTTGCAAACCCCACTCCTAGACCATTCAAGGACAAAGAGAAATCCATCAGATCTTCGGGTTTTTTTCTTTTTGCCGCACATCGAGGTACAGAAATCTCTCCTGTAGCTGTAAGCTACCCCTATGAAATGCTGCTTTCTGCTTCGCTTGTGCCCTGGTACCGACAGTATCCATCGGTACTGCCCCCCCCCCCCCCCCCCCCCCCCCCCCCCCCCCCCCCCCCCCCCCCCCCCCCCCCCCCCCCCCCCCCCCCCCCCCCCCCCCCCCCCCCCCCCCCCCCCCCCCCCCCCCCCCCCCCCCCCCCCCCCCCCCCCGCATCCCGGCTGTAGCTCCGCGTCCCCCTCGCCGCCACCGCACCCTGTCCGCGGTCACTCGCACGGCCTCGATCGCTTCTGCTGCTCTGAGTTTCAGTTCCTTATCACTCCAGCATAATGATTTCTTTTGTGTTTGTTTGTTTCCAGCTTATCGGCAAGCAGCATGTGCCCGTCTTTCACACGCTTCTCCTCGCCCGGGGCCATCTCCCGGAGCCTCCACCCGCAGGACGGTTCCCACGCAAGCACACCCGCCCCTCGCGGCTGAATAACCCGCAGCGAAGTAGCTCTGGGCATAGAAGCACAGCCATCTCAAGCACGCCCCCTCATCACCCCCACTGCTGCCTTTATTTTTAGTAAGGTGCAAAATTCCAAGGTCTCCTAAAAAGATGCCGCCTCCCGGCCGTACCTACCCAGTGCCTTCATGTACTCGTCGAAGTTGTGGCTGTCCACCAGCTTCCAGGTGGCGCAGAAAGCCTCGACCATGGCGGCCGGCTGCGTGTTCCGAGCGCAGTGCCAGGGAGTGGCAGAAGCGCCGGTCCTACCGCGCCGCCCCGCATTTAAAGCGAGCGCCCGGCGGGGGGCCGGGGGTGGGGGGCGGCCGCGATCCGCCCCTGACGGCCCCGCGGAGACGCCCCACGCCGCCCGGGGAGGGCGCTCCCCGCCCCGGTGAAGGGGTGCGGTGCTGCCCGGCCGGGGCACACGGCGGGACGCGGAGGGGAAGGGGAGAGGGAAGCCTGAGGCACCGTTCCGAGCCTCCCTGGGGGCACCCCCGTCTGCCTCCGTTGCTGTCCCTAAATGTAAAGTAACACGGTGGGGAAACACAGAAGCGGGTACCCAACGTGAAAGACTCTACTGGGGATCATAACGCTACTGAGTTTTCCCATGAAGATTTTCCAACCCGGTTCGGTGTTGGCCAAGTGCATATCCCTTTACCCATCACGGCATCTATATAGATGCTGTCTGAACTTGGCATTTGGTGCTGCTGGTTGGAAACAGCATCTTGCCCCCACAACTGGCAGCATTTGGAGACTAAGAATGAAGAAAGAAGGAAAATAAATTAAAACTTGGGGGGTTTGTTGGTGATTTTTTTTTTTTTGGTGGGTGTATTTTTGTTTTGGGGTTTGTTTTTGTTTTTGTTTTCACTGCAAGAGAGGGAATGTTTTCTTCCTAATTGTTCTTTTAAACCGTTTTAAGATGCTAGGTGATCATCTTGCTCTCGAATGTTTTTCAGAAAGCAGCCTGTCTTTGTGGGACACACCACAGTGTCAGCTTTTCCAGACCTATGACTTGGATGGATTCCAGAATACTGAATTAAGCACTTCAGCTCTGGTAACAAAACTCAGGGACTAAGTGAAAGAGAATTTGTGTGATTCAGGAACAAAACCTCAACAATTTTTTACCTGGTTCAGCCATACAAAATATAAATATTTATGAATATTTTCCTAATATTTTTAATTTAGCTTTTGACCATCATTTGCATTTCTTTCAGGTTCTTGTAGTATGGCACATTCTTTGAGTGTAGGGCAAATGATGATTTCTGATGGGATTTTAATTTAATTTGCCATTTCTCACTTGTCCTCATAAGGAATTAAACCTTCTCTGAATTAATCCCAGGAATATAATCCTGATTCCTTTTACCACACAACACAGTTTTCATTAGTCTTCATAACCTAACGTTACAAACTAGTGCATCAATTTCTCTTTAACCTTCCGTCCACTTACTTTGAAGCAAAAAGTGCCCTCCTGCAGCTGCTCAATTTATGTCTGACTGCCTCTTCTGACCAGCTTTTTTGAGGCTTTTCAGACAGTGCTCAGAAAGCCAGGGAGACTAGAGCATCACTTGAAATGACAGACCTCCAAGTTGTTCATCAGACTGAAAGGAATCAAATCCTCTTTTTTTTTTTTTCTGGTCAAAGTTGAGTAATGCTCTACCTCCAAAGTTTGCAGAGAATACCAGCCTTAGTGGTGCATCTCCCACAGATGTTCCCCAACCTCATGTTGTCAGTAGTCAGTCAAACCCTCTGCAATGAATGAGAAATACACTTTGTGATTGGCACTGTCACGGCACAGGGCACATGGGTTTGATATTGTGCATGCATGTCATCCCCCGCTCCAGTTCAGTTTGGGGGTTGTGTTTCCTCAATACAGTAACATTATCAAGCAAAAAATGCCCACCACTCATAGCCAGACTCTACTGTGGTGGTCTCACAGAGCCTCATTGCTGGCACCCAGTCAGCTGACACACAAGGACGTGCAAACTGACCTCATCACTTACCTACTTCACCTGAGATGCATCTGTACCTAATGCAGACTACAAGAAAGCTCGAAAGGGACTTTTTCCATGGGCATGCAGTGATAGGACAAAGGATAAATGGCTCTAAACTGGAAGAGGTTTAGATTAGATATTAACAAGAAATTTGTCTAGTGCACAGGAACATAGTCACATCTTGCCTTTAGAGCAGATTAAATTTAAGACCTGTCAACCTCAACAATGTCTGTGTCAGTTTTCTTCCTCTGCACTTATAGGGAACAAATTTAAAGCCCCTGATGCATCATTTCTACATCTCATGCTTTGAGTTATTCCCTTCCTTTAGTATAATAGGCCTGTTCCCTTCCTGAGGATGATAATTTTTCAGCCAAACATGTGAAGTTGGTGAGGCACTGGAACATGTTGCCCACAGGAGTTGTAGGCAGTTGTAGTTGTTCCAGGCCCTATTCCTGGAACTGTTCCAGGTCATGTTGGATGGGGCTTTGAGCAACCTGGCCTAGTAAAAGGTATCCCTGACTATGGGGGGGTGGGAGTCGGATGAAGATGATCCCTTCCAACCCAAATAATTTTATGATTCTATGATATTAAATTCTAAATTATTTTACCACTATCATCTTACTCTGTATAAATGCTTTGCTAAGGCTGGAATGGAGATTGCAGTGTGAAGCACACTGACCTGGTATGCATTTTAGGTTGCTGTACAAGAGACCAGCTTGGAGTTTTGTTTGTGCTGTCAGCCGTTTGATGGTTTTGACAGACTCTGTACTCCCCTGTAAAATGCCTGTGTGATGAAAGCTACCTCGAGATTCCTCTCTGAACTTGAAGGGATTCATTCTCCTTTACACTAAACTCCATAACACCTGAGCAGTCTAAGTAGGCACATTTGCATTTTATGTGCAAGGTCTGCTTGAAAGATGAAAATGCTGTGGCAACATATCCCTGTGTAATGAGTAATCTTTGCTTCCAAAGGCCATTCAGGGTGAATGTGAGGCTACTCTAACCTTCAGCCTTCAAATACTGGTCACAAACCCTGCTTTTAGCTACCTTTCCCCTCTGTTATATCCCTGCTTCACATGCCCTCAGACATTCAGAGATGGAGGCTGTCAGCCTCGTTCAGCCTTCATCCTGTACTTGAAAGAAAAAAATTCACTTGTTCGGGAAAAAGAAAAAAAGAGGAGGAAGGGGGCACCACAGGATGGCCACCAGGCTCCTGTGGTAGAAAAGTCTGACCATGAGGTTCTGTCATGTGTACTCCTCACAACCAATATCAGGAGCTGCTGAGCATCTAATCACTACAGCCAGTCACTGAAGGCTGTAAAACTGTAGTGAATTTGGTGCAGTTAGTGTTTGAAGTCAGGTTTATCTATCCTTCTGTTCTGTAGCTCACTGGATCTAATGCAGGCAGGGCACTCTTGCTACACCAATTCAGTTAAACCTCCACCCTTTCACCATCTTACAGTACAATAGCCAGGAACAGCGTATTACTCTGTCAAGTTTGATCAGTAGTTAAGGGGATACTATTTTATAAGGTCTTCAGATAATTTAGTGATGACTGCATCATTTAAACATTTCTGTGTTCCAGACAGTAAAGGCCCTGGAACTGCAGAGTATCTTGTATCCATGTGTGCAACAAAAGGCAGCAGTGATACCAGGGCCTAACTGCTCTGCTACAAAAGCAGATGTAGGCACTCAGAGGCCTTTTATGTATTGAATCCCACTGAAAACCAACAGGATTCAGGGTCCTAACTGACTTAGGTGTTTCTTTAAACTCTTAGCATTGTGCAACATATTAGGGACTATTTGCTTCTGAATTATGGAAATTGAAAATAATGTGCAGCTGAAAGAAGAAGTTTCCTCCATTTACGGACAGCCGACTAGGGTATTCTTATCAGGTTTTAAGCTTTTTTGAAGCCCCACTGTGAATCTCTGTGCAGTTTTGATCTCAGTGCAACACAGTAATGAACAGATTTTAGTAGCTATTGTGTCAGATAGGATGATGTTACATCAGGGTTGAGTGTGATTTGATTTTTGGTGCTCCAGAAAAACCAAATATCAAATAGGACAGTAGAATGTCCTTAACTAAAATTATCTCATATGCTCTCTAGCTGTCTGAGAGATTTGCTAATCCCCTTAATAAAAATAAACCATCTCGGTGCTGTTGGTGAATCACAGAAAATACCTAGGTTTATTTACTCTATTGACGAGCAGCTCTTTAGAAATCCCAATTTCAACAAATGCCTTATGGAGAAGACACCCAATTATGCAGCTGCAAAAGGAATTGGTCGCAGAATGGTCCCAGGTACAAAGCATCTGTATGAATCCAGTCTTGTGCTGCATAAATCCCCTGTGAAGGGCTTTGCTGGAGCTGCAGACCACATGATAGGCAGGGTGCAAGGTAATGCAGGCAGGAGCAGGAAAGGCATGTTTATACTATATCCCTTCAAAGAGCAGGGCATACCGTAGGCAAAATTTAGGAGCATGTTCAGCAGGCTTCCTGCCACTGTAGAAGCTCAACCAAAATAGTGCCAGGACAGTCTAACATTAGACACAAGTCATCTTAAGGTCTAATTCTGGTGTTGATGTCTAATTGGTGAAAATGAAGTGGTCTGTGATCATGCATTTCATTCTTGCAGATTCTCTCTTATGTTACAAATTGGTGTGACATGAGATTAGGAGAGTCCTGGAAAGTAAATACCCACTAATACCTCATTATGAACTATTAGACATATATTCGGATTGGTTTAAGCTAAGAGGACAGCTGGTCGACAATGGTTTAAAGAAGTAAGCAAATGCTATGAAGTATCTCCAGGGTCTTCTCTGCATGTAAAAGGCTTTCAGGACATTGTTATCTGTTGTCTAATATTACTGTATAAACTCATTTAGTGGACTCAAGTCAGGTTCTCCTCAAAGAATTAGCCTGCACTAAAGCCAGCCACCTTCCTGGCTTCCAGTTCAATTAACTGAAGATGCAGCTACTTTAACTTCGTGCCATTATGCCTTTTTAATTTTAATATTTGTCTTTGTTTTCCTTTGTATTTAAGAGTAGAAAAACTATTTAAAAGCCTCCAAAATGTAACAGAAATGTGTGATACAGGGTGTCACTTACAGTAGCAGTCTAGTTATTGTAAAATCAATACAAGTAATTAGCTTTCCAGACTACAAGTTCAGCATGTGCTAATGTTAGGTCGTACACTGAGGAAGAAAGAAATAGTCTTATAAATAAGCAATTGACTATTTCAGGGGTAATAATGACTCAGAGAAATTTAGGAGACATATGAATAAGAGGAACATACTAAATTAAAATAATCCTTATGTGGAAAGCCAGAAAAATAGCACATAGATTTAAGGAGATTAGATGACTTATATTTGACTTGTTGCAACTGATTCTGAGAGTTATGTGTGAATTTGGTGTTCAGGGCATACCAGTGAGAATATTAGTGGAGCTGAAACACACTCTGTATTAAGGTCCAAGGATTCTGTATTATAGCAAAGGAGGGAATGAATTTTATCACCATCAATATAAATTTTACAGTGTTAAAGGTACAAGTTTAAATTGACATACGTCATTAGTGTCATATTCTCTTTCTATAGCTCTAGTACACACCATGGAGGCTCTAAATACTTACTTATTGTGACTACTTGGAATTCAGTGTAATCAATCTCAAGCTAAATCCTTTCAGCATAACGAAAGACAACTGTGTAGTCTGCAGGGTTGGATTTAAGAAATTTTTGGAATAGCTCAATGTAGCTTCATTCTGTTTATCCATACTGAGGCATTGCATTTTCTTCATTATCTTGAAATCACTTGCAACACCAGATGAGATTTAGATAAAAAGTAAAATCAGGTTTATTTGACTAAATTTCAAGTTTAGGAAAGCAGCTACTGAGTTTAAAGAACAGACGCAAAATTAAAGCTCAGCTCATTAACTACCTGCATTTGGATATTTCTAAGGTCCTCCTCTGTTCCATTCAGCTGTGGACTTAAAGGACACAGTCACAGCCTGCTGGAGCCAGATATGATCCCCTAGATGCAGCTGGAGCCACCACTCCTCTCAGTTTGTGTCCTCTAAACCAAAATCTCTCCCCTGGAGGAAGCCATTTTCTCTGAAGTTCTAAAATGCAGTGTTAACACACCCTGGAGAAATGTCTGAATTCCACAGTCTTGATAAATAATTTAATTATGTTATCAATTTATGGGCTGGTCATGGATGAACAAATGCCTGACACAGATCAGGCATTTGAAATGAAATCTCATGCTGGGTTACCTAGCTGGAATTACACACCTAACTTGATTCATTTAATAGTGCAACTATATCCCTACTTTACACACTGGTTTGTGACCAAGTGTTGAGTAATTTCTGAGTTTTCATGAGTCTAAACACATAAACTTCCTGGAACACAAAATTCTAAAGCAACTTGAACCATTGTAGAGTTAAAATAGCTCATTACTAGCTTTAAATAGGGACTAGCATCAAGACAAACTTCAGGAAAATTTAGGTCATACTGGCTGTTTGGAGACTACCCCAAAGAAACAGTGGTCTCTTCAGTCTGGTATACAAAACTACAGTCATTGAAAGTTAGGCCAACAGAAATTTATAATAAATTTATAATAAAATTTATATAAATTTATATTAAAAATGAAGTGCATATTAGCTGTCAGGAGACTTAACCCTTTGATCAACTTTCAAACTGCCTTACAAGACTTTTTATCCCTGCAAGTTGTAAACTATGCTAATAACCACAGCCATTGAACATGATGCAGAAAGTAATTCAGAGAAGTTCTATATCCTGGATTATGCAAGAAATCACATGAGATGGTTGAAATAAGCAAGTCTATACCAGGAAACTTAAAATCACATCCCACTTGCTAAGTGTGGTTTTGCACTTTGCCAAATCCAGAGTCTACCAGGAGAAAAGATAAAGATATGCATAGAAAGGAAAAAAGGCATGCAGTCCCTGCCTAGGTAATCATGGGACTCACTTTCTGGACTGTACTGCAATAAGCACCAGAGGGGAAGTATAGATACAGCCAGTATTCCTTTAATTCTATACATTCGTGTGTTTCAAAACGTTTCAAAACAGTGTTTCAAAACACTGCCTCTCTGTGTGGCAGTAGTAAACAGTCCAGATCCTCTACAGCCTAAATGAATAACTAATCTTGTAACATTTAAACAAAGCTTCTAATAGCATCTTCCTCCAGACCTTTGAAACTTTCTTGAGTGGCTGATCAGCCTTGCAGCCAGAGCTCAAAACATCCAGAGTCCAGAGCCAGTGGAGGGTGCAGGAGCAGGCTAACTTGCTTGCATCATAACGGGCTCATCTGTTCTGGTAAAAGAAGGTGCTATGGAGAAGAAACATGGCACAACTTTCATGCCTTTAAGTCCATTTCACTGTTGTTTTCTCCCTGTCCCTAAATATATTCCTTCTTACACTTCAGCATTTCATTTTATCCTTTATAAATTTACCTAGAAGTTTCCACTCACAACAGGCCATGTTAAAAAAAAAAAAAAAAAAAAAAAAAAAGACACAAAGTTCAAAGGCTATCTGTAAGAAGACACTTATTTCAGCACTTTCTTACATTGCAACACCATCTCTGTATAATCACATGCTATTTGTTTTCTACAGAAGCTATTTCTCCATGTTCAAGACAAGGGCTGTTCAGAGACTGGCTCAAGGGTCTCTAATGTTTCTGTCTGATATGTAAGATTTACCCAGAACTTGGTGGGAGCAACAGTAATGGGTCATCCTTTTACCATCTCATTTTAGTGAACACAGAGGCAACTAAAGAGACTAGTTTCTTGTGTTGAAAGCAGTAATAGTTGATGTTGGGCATAAGAAGATGTGAGTGAAGTGAAGGGTGAGCACTGAAGATAAGGCAGTAAATGGATGTAAGCTTTGACTGGAGTTGGATGAGAAATTAAGAGGGAAGGAAGGAAGGCGATGGGATTGTCGAGCAATTAAAATAGAAGATGGGTACAAAATTGGTGGGAGGAACAAGAAGGTTCAACACCTGTAGTTCTCTTATGGAAGCTTTCCTGTTTTTTTCACTTAAAGGGCCCTTTTCGTTTACAGTGCCCTGCACGCCTTGGCTCATCCCCGGCTGTCTGTTGGAAGCCAGAGGATGTCCGGGTAGCTGCCGGAGAAATCCCGGCTCCCCGGGCAGCTCTGAGCGGCTGGCTGCTGGGCCATGGAGGGGCTGCTGGGGACCGCGGAGCCACAGCTCTGCTGGAGAGCGAGGCGTAATGATGTAGTGCTGCTGTTTTAGCTGCGCTGAGGGACGCCGGTGCAGTCCCCACGCGAGGCGCCTCCGAGGGGAGGTCACCTGCCCTTCACTGGCAGGAGCTGCTGGGGAGGCGCGTTTCCCGCCCAATCTCCCTGCTTTGGAAGCCTCGGGGGTTCTGACGCTCAGGGCCCGTGTGGGGATGACCCGCCGGGCCAGAGGTTGGACGCGGCGGCGGGAGCCGAGGCCGGCCCAGAGCAGGGGCGCCCTCTGCCTGCACCGCCCGGCGCCCGCGGGGAGCCCTGTCCTCCGTCCCGCAGCGCCGGGCAGGCCGAGGCGCCGGCACAGCCGCCGCTCTTTGTCGTGTTACTGATCATCCTGAAGGACAGGCGAACTCCGCCGTGTCCGAGGCGCTGAGAGCCGGCGGATGGACAGAGACGAGGGCTGAGGAAGGCGAGGGCTCGGCCGCGTCTCTGTCAAGGCTCGGGCGCCATCTTGTGCCCGCTGGGCTGGAGGTGCCGCCTGACGGCTGCGGAGCCCGTCCGTCCTTCGGGAAAAGGTGTTCCTGCAACCTCAGGAAAATGGGTGCATTATGAGAAAGCTACATCTGAAATACTGCTGAGGGTTAACAGCAGTTCACACGCTCCTTCATTTTGTGTTTACCCTGCTGGTATATCGTTTACAAATATGCCCAAGGGATCTGGGAAAAAAAACCAACAAAACACCAAAATATAAAATACACAGTAAGGTTAAACCAGCCACAGATTAGCTTTTCCATACACTGTATGGTAAGCACTGGATTTACACCACCAATCCTTGCACAGCAGAGTGCCAGGAATAAAACACTGGTAGGCACTGTCCAGATCCTCACACAGGGCCCTTGACACTGCAGGCAATTGTTGAATATATGTTTAACACAGAAAAGCCCACAGCACACAGGGGATGGGGGGGGGGGGGGACGGACACACAAACAAACCATCAAATCCAAGTCTTGCACTAAAATCCAGAGATCTGGCATTAGGACATGGCACAAGGACAACGTGAAGTGACAGCCTTCAGGCTTCCTATCACTCCCAGCCATCTTGGGATATTAACTGGTCCCATTGGGCTGAAGAGGGAAATAAACCAAAATAGCAAAATAAAGTCACAGCTCTCCGCATTTATCGCTAATTACTAGCCAAAGTAGAACAGCTTCAGGTTGGGAAGATGAAACTGAGTTCTCCTTAACAACAAGTCAAAACCAGTCAGCTGTGGCGGTATTGACACCCCAGCCCAAATCGCAGAGCAGGCACCCAAAGCTGGGTAGGCTGCAAGCCAGGCTTAGGCACCTGTTTTACAACAGAATGGGTTGGAACACACGATGCCTCCTGCTTGCCATCACCCACATTTCTGAATGCAAAGGCACCAAGGTTCTGGGCCCTCAGCAAAACCCCTGGAGTGAAACGTCTCAGATTAGCTGGAGACAGTTGGCTTCTCACCAGGCCAGTTTGCAGCTGGGTTTGAGGTCTCTTAAACTGTCTCCCTTCGCTTCCTCGCACAACCTCGCAAAGCTGAGGATTCCACTAGATGGCAGGACCGTTTAAGGCTTTAATATTTCTACTTCAGAGAAATCGCTCTGGAATCCCACGGGCTCAGCCCCACTGGTCTGTGCTGTCTGGACCCTAGGGAATCCACACTAATCACGATCTGCAGCTTATGCTCACTGAACACAGCAAATATAAGCTGTACCAAACAGTTGGAGAAATCTATGCAGAAATCTCTGTTCAATTCCTTTTCACGGGCTTTATCACACACAGAGCTCCATCAGACAGAAGAGAGGAATACGAACTAATCCTAATTTGCTAAATCTTTAAGTATTCCTCTTTGTGTGTGTGATACATAAAAGATATTTGGCTCATTTGGTAAAGTGTAGTTTAAACCTCTTCTTGCCACTGCTCTGTTATAATTTTTAAGTAATGCAAGTGGAGTTATAATTTTGTATGATCACCATTGTATGAAAGCTGCAAACTAGAGAAGTGGCCACTCTGGGTCAGGTCATAGATCCATACCACTAAATAAGATGCCTTGGATAGTGCAAACATATATGACATTTCCACTGATTAGCTTCCTTGTCTCCAAGCATTTGTGTTTACGGACTTTCTGAGTTGGGAGATATTTTCTGTATGGTTAGTAACTCATGACTTAAAACTAAAGCTAGGTATAATTCTCAGTGTAACTAGTATAGAACCCATTTTTGTCTTCAATGATGACTAGATTTGCCCTGCATATGGCTGTACTATCACTGATTTGGAAATTTCTTTTAAAATACACTACCTTGTGAACTGCTTTGCCATTCATTTCATCCACCCAAGCTCAGCCTATGCAGTACTACACCAGAAAGATGGTACGTAGCACAGGTGAGAATAGCTGTATGAGGCATCATTGCAAATAAGTTTCATTTTAAAAAATCCTTAATTACTTCAAATTACTCAAGATGTGCTTCAGCATATATATTCATCCACCTCTTACATGAAGCTTCTGATGAAGGACTGACCCAAAGAAAATTACCTTCTTAATGACATCTGGCAAATAATATGGCCAGTTTTCTGTATATTCAAAATACCTAAATTGGTTTATATATGCACAATAAAATTACAAGGGTATTTCCTTTTTCTGTCATTTTTGTTTTGTTTTGTTTTGTTTGATATTCTTTGTTTGTATTTTAGTTGTGTTTTAAATATGCAGAGTGGATAAGAATGGATAATTTTTCATTAAGTTTTAAAATTTGGAAACAACAAAGTTAACTTTTTCTTGGTACTAAAATGGAATTCTTTATAAAAGCCTCAGAATAGTGCTGTAAGATGGCGAAAAAGTTACTACGACCTGTGCCACACTTGCTGGAATGGAAAATGGGATTAATGCATTATAATACCAGATTAGCCTTAATAGAAGTTTGCTGCAGTAATTTGTCAAGGTAATTAATTATGTACCTAATTTTAGTCACCTAAGTAGTTCTGTTGACTCCTGTGAGACTAGTCTGCATTTAAAGTTAAGCATGTTTTAAAATACCCTGCTGATTCAGGGCTGTAACTTTGTAGCCACAGTGAATTAAGACAACGCACTGTCTTCCATTAGTTGAGTTAATGCAGGGTGGTACAGCCTGGATAATGGTTGAAACTGGATAAACTGGCTCAATGACAAATATATTTGGAAGCACTTCATTTGTTCTTTACTTGCTCAGCTGAAGTTTAGTAGGACTATTACCTATCTTCAAGATACAAGAACATGAACCAGAGCTTTCCCAACCTAGGCTGTGCTTAAAACAGTAACCCCTCCCAAACCCCAAGCTCCTGGACAGCATGAAATAGAGTTCCCACTGTCAGCTCTAAAAGGGCTAGCTCCCATCTGCCTGAGTCAAGCATAATGCACAACTAATAAATTCTGTGCCTGTTCAAAGATTATATGGCACAATGTCTCCCACACCAACCAGTTCGTGGTTCAGTTTATCCTGGTCAAAAATACATATCTGGCTCAGAATTGGAAAGATTTGACAAAATCCAGGCATAACTAAATATTCCTCTTCTATTTACGAATGAACTCTCTCATTAGTCTAGACTAATAATTGTTTAGACCAAAGCAGTACATGCATGTGGCAAAGAAGCATTTCTGTGTCTGTAGCTTGGTTAATATGCAGCTAGGTAATACACACGTAACACAGCATAACATACTATAGATATTTTAAAAATGTTCATCTCGCTTTCAGTTGAGATGCATTTTAAATCTTAGTTTTTACTACTTTTGTATTTTTTCAAATTTGCCGTTAAAATTCTTCTTTCCGCACAATGTATTTTCAATGACAGGTTCATAGAGCTCAAGTGCAAAGTAAGCACTGTAAGCACCAGAGTGCTTAGGGTAATCCTCCAGGGTGTTGAGCACTCTTGACTAGTTCTAAGCTCTACATTTGTGATCGGTTAACTCTATTTATATATACAGCTGTAGAATGATTTTTATATAGAATTTAGCACATGAATAATTTGCTAAATTCGGCTGGTTCATAATTGGTGTTTTAACAGTAAAAAACTTCAAATCATCTTAGGCTAACAAAGTACTAAAAGTATCTATTCCTGTAGCTCAAATTTCAGTGTCTGTATTCTATCAGAGAAGAATCTAAATACATTTAGTACTGCAACTGCAAAGGTGCAGAATTCAATACAGGTTGTGACCCAGAAGAACAAATTAGCATATGCTTCACCTAAGGCATATAAGGAATTCTGTTTCAGTAATACTCGGTTACTTGACTTCCATGGGATCATTATAGCTTCTTATAATTTGCCAATTTTATGTACTGTGATGCTCTAAAGGAGGCTGGTATATGAGAATGAGACTGCAACCCAGAGTGTGCCACAAAAATAGTTGTCTCCAAGTCCCTCTCCACTTTGGTTTTCAGTGCTGGTTCTCCCACATCAGCTAATTCAGTCTCTCAGACTCTCTTACATCACCCGTTTTTCTCCAATGGAGTAAGTTATTTTACCTTTTCAAACCTGAAAAAAACCCCTGGGCTGTTGCACTTGTTACATGAATACAGGTTAAAGAGAAGGGAACTAAATGTCAGTTCAGTTGAATGAAACTGGATCCTTTATTGAATGGTCCCCAAACAGCAGGGCGTGAGTAAATGCACAGCAGGAACGGAAGTTGTACATAGAGGCCTCTTAAAAGTTCTCTGCCAGCTGTAGAATACACAAATATTTTAAAGATGCTATACCAGTCAAATGTGGTGGCATACCCATCAAAAATGCTTCCTCTGTCTGGCTGTAACCCAATGGTGGGCAAATAAAAGCATTTGATTGCAGGTGTTGGTTAGGTTTCAAGATGTATGTAAGTGGCTGCTATCCAGGCTATAGTGAAGTGTTTGTCTGTACCTGAATCTTAGGTCTCCTACAATAAAGGAATGAATGCCAAGTATTTTCAGGAGCATGACCTCGACAATAAAACAATTCCTTTCAATAGACAAAAAACTTTACTTAAAATCCTTGTAAAATTCACAATGATTGAAACATCATCATTGTCAGTGAACAATAAAGCAAACTCCAGATGAAATAAAAGAAGTATGTATTATGGGGTTTTGTCATACAGGAGAAACATCAAGGAATCAACCCAAGACAGAAAAGACTACAGATAATTAATTTCCACAGTGAGATTAAACAATATTCATCATACACAAACATGGCTACTTTATTTTAGATACATATGAACAGCTACAATATTCAGCCTGAAAACAAATGACAGAAGTGCCAAGACTCTTAAGAGTGGGAGAACTGAGATGATCTGCCATAATTAAAGAGAGCTAAGGAGAGTTTGAAAACCAACACAGGTGTTTAAGTAGTTTACAAAACCTTTTGGAGACAGGAGAAGGAAAGAAAAAAATTGTTTCTTTTATTTTTTATTATTATTTTTTTTATTTCTCACACCCATCTACATATGTCTAATGAGAACAAAAATCTCAGGAGATAAATTACAGATAATGTCTGTAATCTAATATATATTTCATATCATGATGGATAGAGTGAATACACCTCTGCATCAGAGAGAAGAAAGCTGTTTTAGGAAATAAGGAAACAAGATTTTTATTTTGAAATAATCATTCTTGGAACATCTGCTAGATATATTAATTGTAACTGTCAAAGAGGATTAGTTAGGATGACTACTATAACCATGAGAAAACCCTAAACAAGAGATACATTCTTTAGT